AAAAATGCAAAACAGAAAAGTCAGACTACAGTTGGATTCCGGGTCGGACTTAACTATTATTAACGTACAAACATGGAGAAAACTGAACAAACCTACCATGTTAAGAACCGATAAAATTGCTAGATCGGTAACTGGGAGAAAAATAAAATTTGAGGGTGAAGTGATTACAAATGTGACATTCAATGGAATGACCAAAAATTGAAAAATGTATGTGCTAAGAAATACAGAAAACTTATTCGGTACGGACTGGATGCAAAATTCGAACTTTGGGATTTACCAATAAGTACGTACTGCCAAAATGTAAAAAGTTTATCCACCGAGGCAGATAAATTAAAAGAGAAACTAAAAGAGAATTTCCCCGAAGTATTTTCAGCAGGTCTTGGAAGATGTAAGAAAATGGCAGCAAATATAAAAATAAAAGAAAACGTTCAACTTATCTTCAAGAAAAAAAAAGAGCGTGCCGTTTGCTTCATTAGAAAAAATAGATCAAGAATTGGCTAGACTCGAAAACACCGGCATATTGACAAAAGTAGAATACAGTCAATGGGCCGCATCCACGGTTTACGCAAAAAAAAAAAAAAATCAGGGGAGATTCGAGTATGCGCTGATTTCTCAACGGGTTTGAACGCAGCGATAAAAGACTACCATTATCCTCTACCCAGTCCTGAAGTATTCACGAAAATCGTCCAGAAAAAAAAAGTTCACAGAACATTTGGTAATAGATCCAAAGAGAAAAAAATATTAAAAACATCTGCTACGCAAAAGCTTCGGAAGTGGGGTGTTATGGGAACTTACCCTTAATAATAATGGACTATTCCTGACATTATAAATACTGCGCCTCTCAAGAGGTATGAGGGGATTTGTAAGACGATGAGAGATAATTGAGAGCATATTGTAAGAACATTGGAATAGTGATACTTGTCGAAACAACATAGTTCACTCTAATCAAATCTGATAGTCATTACTAATACTTCTACTTCTTTGGATTATATTTCTGTTGTAATCTATCTTTGTATTCCATACCTGTGTTCGTGTTATTCTTTCATTGGGTCTAACCTTGGACCATCACCGTGGTACAAGGAACTTGGACCATAACATTTATAATGCCAATTGACTTTTTAGATTTTGTATTAGTTAAGTGTTGTAACCAACTAAATGGTTAAGAACAAATGGGTACAAATAAATCGTATATTGAACAGAAGAAAGAATATTACACGAGTTGGAAGTGTGTGTCGGTTGACCATCGTTCAATCTATACTACTGATAATATTTAACAGCACCCATTCCACACGTGGGATGTATGTGGCACAAGGCTGAGTTTACTGTGGGTTCTCTGAGTCCGTAAGCTCAGCCAAAAATATTCCCTTAGAACCCGCATAAACGGGTTCAGGGTCTGTCTACCTTCCCGGACGAGCCTTTGCCTTTCGGCAAAGGCTCGTCCGGGTTCATCTCTGCTCAAGGCAGAGAGTTCGACATTTGAGCAATCTGATCGACTGTTAATATTTAACAGCACCCACCCACGAGGGATGTATGTGGCACAAGGCCGAGTTTACCGTGGGTTCTCCGAGCCCATAGGCTCGGCCAAAAATATTCCCTTAGAACCCATATAAACTACCTCCCCGGACGAAATTTTGCCCTTCGGCAAAGCATCGTCCGCGTTCCCCACTGCCTCGGCAGAGAGTTCGACAGATGAACAATCTATTCCACTGTTCTCCTAAGGCTTACATTTCTACTAACTTTTATAGTAAGTGGAAGAGTCCACAATAGACTCATTAGAGGGAGGACACCACAACATTAAGTTTAAATAAAATTTGACATTTGTCCTAATATTCATCCAGTTCGTATCGTTTAAAACAAAGAATTTACATAGTTTTTACCATGTTTTGAAACACAATTTACACGATACTTAGAGCAAATACACGGACATGTTCACTCAAAAACGCAACACGCTTGCAGTCAAAAAATCTCATGTAAGGAGAAAAAATATACATGTAGCTAATGGTTTGGTTTGGTTTGTTTTACGGTATATCAACCCCAATTTTTCATTTAATGCCGACTACTTTTTTTCCTCGTAATATTTTAGTTTTGTCAAAAATCTAATTCTGGTAATATTTTTTTCCTCCAAAATGTATAGCTGGTAATATAATTTTTAAAAAATGTATTGCTGGTAATTTTTTTTCAAAAACGTATTGCTGGTAATCGTTTTTCTTCTTCAAAAATTTATTTCTGGCAATAATTTTTACAAAGTATTTCTGTTATTTAAACCTAGTTTCACACTTTCATAATGCTTTTTACCTCAGTTTCGGAGTTAACTATTTGCCCATAGCTGGGACCCTAACAGGTGCTACCACCCCGAGTCAGGGTGGACCTGTGAACACCAGCAATTGATGGTTCTATGCCCCTTAAAACCTTCTGATCAGAGGCCTTGCTGTTAGACGTAGTTTATCGTCATACCCTGGACGCGGATGTAGTTTATCGTCATACCCAGGACGGCATGTTGCTAATGGTTAGTGGCTATTTCTATGAAACAGATAGCAATGAAGCAAAAATGGAAATAAAGCCGTACAACTTTGTGCAAATTAATTGAAACAACCGTTTTAGTTTCCTTTCTTTCACCGTACGGTCAGTTTTAGACCCACTGGAGTGACAGGGCGTAATCGATTTCTATTTTTTACCTCAGATTAGGTCATTTGCAATGGTGTGTAGTAATATGAATCTATTTGGTCGGGGGGGTGATGAAATTTGTTTGGCCTTGTCATCCGCGATTGCATCCGATTTTTATCACGCCAAGACACTAGTGTCCTGACTGTTGATTAGTTGTCCTACGGCTATTCTCTGCGATGGAAATTACTCCAAGTAAGCGTACGAAAATTTGTAATGCTGCACGAACACCCTTACCAGTGAGCAAAGAACTAAACTAGCCAGGAATCTCAATCGAGAATCTGTGGTCAATCTGCAAGGAACGACTTCGTGGAATGGATATACGAAGTACTAACATGTGTACTGGGTCATGTTTCATATATAATATGAATACGAAAAAAATTAAATAATAATGGAATTTATTCGTCTTGTTTCAATTAATTTTCAGAAGGGCGTATATACAGTATATAATTTGCAGAAGTGTGTATATACAGTATATAGATATTGCGTTCAATTTTACACCAAACTAAGGAAGCCAAATATAGAGTTGACATGCGGGTAAAAGTACACGTGACCTCATAGCCGGGTTCTCAAGCGTAGCAAGGAATTGCAATATACACACTTATAAGAGATTAGACTGACTGATTGGTTTGTTTTCTACAGTTTATCAACCCTTTGCATGTTGTTTAAAGCCGGAGAAAATTTAGATTGTAAGTTCTTTTTAAATAATAATGATTTAGTGATACAAGTCTTAATAATTAACTCATACCTGAGGAGGATAAGACGTGATTTCATACTTTTTCCAAAGTAAGTGAATATAACGAACCCAACCAGAATTCGAACTCGGCTCTCCGATTAACAATTTTGAGCCATTATCCATTACACCAGCCACCCATTCAAGTTTACGATACCTGGTATTCCCGGGATCGACGTTGCTTAACTTCGGTGATTGTAGTGGACAAGCGTTTCAAAGTGATATGGCCGTAAACCCCAGCTGGAAAAAGTCATTGATCAATCTCTCAGACAACGCAGACGAGAATGTAAGGTTGCATGTTTTGAACAAGGCCACAGGCAGCCGCAACGCACGCTGACCGTGTGAAATTTTCGAAGTCTTGGAGTGAAATCAAAAGTAATGTTGAATAATGAAACACCCAAGTCTCGTGTTCTCGTTAATCGCCACACCTACTTCATTACCTATACGTAAATAATGAAATAAAATGAATGCAATAATTCTGGAAATTCAGACTCTTTGTTACATACATAAGATTGACTCATTAATATTTCCGAGAATGACGCGTGTATCATACTAAGTATTAATCATTCGTGCCAGTTAAGGATAAATTTGGAAAATAATAACATACCTTATTTTTTGCACGGCTGAGGCAGTGGCAGCGCACACCGCGGATGAAAGGAAAATGTTATTCTCCTCCACGATAGAGCAAGACTGCATACAGCAAAAATAACACAGGAAAATAATTTTGATCTCGGTCGGCTCATCTGACCTTGCATTAAAAGGTTATTTACCTTTTTCGATCGCTTCGAAAGGCTTTCATCGGAACAAGTTTCTTTAATGAAAGCCATAATTAACAGATAGTCGAAATTTTGTTTTTGTTTTACATGAAAACCTGTGGAATTTTACTCAGAAGAAATCGAGGAGCTGCCTGATAAGTTGCAACAAATCATTGCAAATAATGGTGAATACAGAATTGAATAAAATTTAACTGTCCATTATATTTTAAAGAACTCGTCGAAAACTTTTCACATGAAAATCTGTGGAATTGTACCCCATATCAATCGAAGAACTGCCTGATAATTTGCAACAAGTCATTACAAATAATGGTGAATATAAGTATGTATAAAATGTAATTGTTCTTTATTTTGTTGAAGAATAAAGTTGATAGGTAAAAACGGAAATTATTTATGACCTAACTTATTATATAACTTTCAGGATTACTGTCCCGAATATGATAACGCATGTTGCTGAAAAAAAGTCGATATTCAGTTGTCTTGTATAATACGCAGCTGTAACTTTTAGTATTACAAATGTAGAAGAAAGTGTGTATGTATTATGAAGGAATAAATACGGAGCTTAATTTAAGGAATTCAAATTCTGTTTCGTGTCTCAAAATGAAGAATCTGATTCCGCCATTTTTATCCACCCTTTTCACTACAACAACCAGCGCCATCTTCTAATTGGTTTTGTTTTCGCCACGTATGCCCGACGAATTCCTCCTTGAAATCTCTTTACTCGCAAAAGATCGATTGATCTGTGTAGTTATTAAATTCGCCAAACTTGTTAGAAACTCACCAGCAGCCTTTTCCCGCTCCAATCTCCGCTTTTCCCGCCACACGAAGACAATATGGCTGATACCGACGAGCGTTATCTGCAGCAAGCAGCCATAAGAGGCCATAAATCTGGCCGTCGGTCAATACGATGTGCTTAGATGGCCTGAGCAAGATGGACAGCGGACGATGATTGATAGGTCAGTAGTTAATTGGCAAAACCAAACGAAGCATATTAGCCACAGTTTCGTTGGTAAAAGGAAACCTTCGACCAAAGGTCAAGCATCCTTCATACGCTGACCACTTAATGTAATTATCCGGCTTGTAGAACGGACAATTCGGACATTTAGTCGTCCATTAATAATTCGCCGCCACTGACATGGGGCAGACATCTTGCTTCCGGACCACTACTCATAATACAAGGCGAATTAAACACCATTACTTATTTCTACAACGTATTATCCCAAATGTGTCACTTTCATTTTTACTCTCTCTTCAATGAAAGCATGTGTCTGTCTACTTCTCTCTATCTCCATCTGTTTATGCCCATGTCAGACGATATAGGACTAAGTTCTGGCTACCTGTGTTGTATTTCATTCGCTTCATATATATCTTGATCACTTCATATCTCATTTCTATTCATATTTATCCCAATCTGTTTATTTATCTTTCCCAATCTATCTATCTATCTATCTATCTATCTATCTATCTATCTATCTATCTATCTCAGTCTGTTCAGACCTATTTATCTCAGTCTGTTCATATCTATCTATCTCTATCTCTCTCTTTGTCTCTGTCTCTGTCTCTCTCTCTCTCTCTCTCTCTCTCTATATATATATATATATATATATATATCTGTCTCTCTGTTCGGATCTCTGTTTATATCTATCTATCTATCTATCTTATCTATCTATCTATCTATTTATCTATCTCTGTTCATATCTATCTCAGTCTTTTGATATCTATCTATCTATCTCAGTATTTTCATATCTAGCGACCTAGCTAAATTTGTTTGTCTGTCTATTGATGTAACTTTATAGCTATCAGGGGTCTTTTTATATCTATCTATATATATATATATATATATATATATATATATATATATATATATATCTATATCAGTCTGTTCATCTATCTATCTATCAGTCTGTCTCTCTTTATATATATATATATATATATATATATATATATTTCAGATCTATCTATTTCAGTCTGTTAAGATCTATCTATCTATCTATCTATCTATCTATCTATCTCAGTGTGTTCATATCTATCTCAGTGTGTTCATATCTATCTCAGTCTGTTCATATCTATCTATCTATCTATCTATCTATCTATCTATCTATCTATCTCAGCTAGCTAGCTATTTCAGTTTGTTCACATCTAGCTAGCTACCCAAATCTTCAGATCTATCTGTTTAGCTAATTCGATAGCTAACTTGATATGTCATTATCTATCTATCTATCTATCTATCTATCTATCTATGCAAGTCTATCAGTCTGTCTATCTATCTGTAGATCCTTATGTCTGACAATGCAGATCGAACTTCTGTTGACTTGTAACATTAGTTTGTTAACATATTTTTCTTTTTAAACCTCTCAATGTCTATCTAACCAAGTCTTATTTTGAATGAATGTAAATGGTGCGGATACAGCCCTCCACCGCTTCCCATCAGTGCTCAATTGAACTCATACAAGCTGAATATGGTGGCCATATTCTTTGTTAGAAGCTTTTAGAATTCTCCTCATACCAACTCCGAGCAACTTTTTGAGTTACATGAAGTCCATTAACGGATAAGAATGGTCATAAACATGTCAACGTAGCGTGCACTGCTCAGTGATATGCTTGAGGGGACTCATCATATGCCACGTGAACACTCACGACAACACTACAGCAACTGCCACATGCACGGTTCATTTTTGACCACTGTAATCCATGGCCTTATGGCATCTGCTATATACTTGGTCTCATATGTATCTTGAGATTCTGAACAAAATTCAATATCTGCAATATTATTGGTCCTGACCTGGCATCTCACTTTCAATCACTAACCACTGACTTAATGTGGCTTCGATGTGACTTTTCTACAAATATATTGTTCTTTTTTGGTAAGTGCAGTACTAGATTGGTAGTTAGGTCTCACTATTTTACTGATTAAATTTCTTAGTGTAAGCGTAAGTTTTATCTTAGTAATTTCTTCTCTCGCACTTCTTACCTGTGAGACGATCTTCCAGCTTCTTGATTTCCTCTCAACTACAATCTTCAAACATTTAATGTATTTGACGGCACATAAAACGCACAATATATAAAAATAAACAATTTCAGCAGAGCAAATCAAGAAAAAATCAATAATTAGTAAAATTAGTAGTAAATGGTACAGCCTAGGCTATATTTATGAGGTATTATTTTGGTTAAACAAGCCATGATTACAATTAAACAAAAAATAATAGTAAAAAAGAAAACAAGCCTATAAAAACTTTATTATATCCTTTATATGATCTGTACAACGTGCGTCTTGTAAACATCTTATTGGAATAATTAGGATATACGAATTCTGATTGCATTTATACCATTGCGACCAGAAGTTATCACAAGAAAAATATTAATGAAACAAATATATTTTACAAATATATAATTTGAATTTATTATATATAATTTTAGTGAAACAAAGTACTAATATTAAACGTGATGAAATTAATATAATGAATAGTATCAATAATAACACTTTTAATCTGCATAATAGCCTTTTAAATAATAACAATAGGTATATGAAAGTTACTCTAAAGTCTAAACTAATAGGAGTTGCCGGGTAGCTAATATCGGCCGACTATCGCGAATTTGAAACCTACATATGGCATATAAGACGCAGGAGAATTTTAAAAGATATTTTTAGTTAAAAAAAAGTGCGTCTTATATGTCGTCAAATACAGTAAATACACCCACCGTCGTCATCTTCCGTCTGCTTTTTATTGTCCTCCTTTCTCCTCAGTAACCGTCACTCTAGTGTCTTTCCTCCACAGTAACCCCAATGCGTCTTAGTGGCTTTATCGCATTGACTGGTGCGAAAATATTGAAAAATAAGAATACAACTAAGTGAAACCGGGACTAATCGAACCATTCCACGCTTTAATTGTCTTCGAGTGTACAATTAGCCGTGATACGAGCACAGGTGATGCGGCTGTTCCCGGTTGGGTTCTCGACTCCATTATCCCAAAGAAGCTACAAAACGCTGATCTGACACGCTAGATATGTGTCTGTTATCTCTTTGCATTGAATGAGTGTGTGACATTGTGTCAGTGTCGATAGTCTGAGACCACATGCAATTCTAACGAGACGCCTCTGGTCACAGCTATCAAGGGCCAGTCTACTATAAGCGGTTATGCATTCCATTAGGTGTTCGTGCTATTCCCTTGACACCGTAGGTTAAGGGATATCAAATGCTTCCACAATGTCAGAAATGGAATTTCCTATCCGTCTAACATCCAATATCATTTCCCGTTCAGAATCCAGTAGTTCATATCGGCTTGCCATCTGCAGCCCAGACAACGGTCACATGGACCCAAAATGTCAGTGGGCATTTTCATGGCGTCATTTACCATTAACTTTCCATATAGCTATCCGATACCTATTATCCTATCAATATAACTTCATCCCCGCCGTTCGCCAACGGCTTAGTGGTAGAATCCCCCGACTGATGCCAATTCAGTCGGGTTTCGATCCTAGCTAAAGGCAAACGGACGTCTAGTCAAACTGATGAGCTGTGATACAGTGGATGACTCTATATATATATATATATATAATTAGATATATGTATATAATTTAGACGAAAATTCATCCATCGTGCACTATATATATATATATATATAGGGCGGGATGGATGAATTTTCGTCTAAATTACGCAAATATTAAAATAACACTGATATTTCATTTTAACTTATATATTTACCAAAATTACACAAAAATACCTTGAAATACTAAAGAGTAAATTTATTCGATAAAATCGCTTCAACCACGACCTTCAGGCATCTTCGGAATCCCCTGCAACTCTTCTAGAGTCTCTCCTCGTTTAGGTTGGTGAATGCTGACATAATCCTTGCCTTTTTTGAATTACAAGACGTCTTATTGGTCTCCCACTTAACTGAGTCCCACACATAATAATCTAAGTGGTTGAAATCTAAAGGAGTTAGGTGGCCAGATGTAAAGGGTGATGTAGTGGTAGAAATTGACTGACAGCCATGACTGGGTTCACCTGCTTTTGTGGCATGATGCAGAATCCTGTTGCCAGATATAGGGTATTCCAGCAGCCACCCTCTTGACCCAGGGCAACACCTGATGTAGACCTCCGTGCTCAATCTGAGGCCCTGCGGAAAGATAAATAGAGGCATATCGTCGCCATCACTAGTGAACAATCCAAACCCCATGAGGTTGATTGGAGATTTGGCTTTCATCACTCTCGGTACATATTTTAGGGAGACAGCAATCCAACGGTTGTTCTGTGTCTTCACCGTCTTATCATGGCAGACATTTTTTCTCATTTGAGAAAAAACAAAACATGTTCGGTTTTGGAGGGGATGCTTGAGTTTGTTCAAATGCTTCATATGTGCGGTCTTTCCTCTTGTCCCTCATGACTTGGGATAAAAACTGGCCCTTTCTTATCTTATATGATAAATACCGAATGTCTACATGAACCACTTGCCGGATAAGTGACTCAGACATTCATGTGTCCCTGGCTATGGATCTCATTGACTTTAAGGGATCGTTGTCAATCATGGTCTGAATCTTACCAACAAATTCAGGAGTTCTTTTCTCAACAGAACGATCAGATTGCGTTTTTCGTGCTGCCGGACGTTCGTAATCACAATTAAATTTATTCATCTTTATTTGAATCATCTGCACAGAATTTCGAACATATCCCTTTAGTCATCACACAGGCAAAGCTTGCTCTCATTCTGATGTCCATATTAAAGAATATTACTTATCAGTTAATTCTTCCTATTTGATTCGTCCTGAAAATATGAATTCTGTTCTTTAATTATGTGACCTGGTGGGTTGAAATGTTGGTGAAGCGTACCCCGTTAACTGGAGTCCGTGAGTTCAGTTTCTGGTCGAGGGAGAAAGCATTAGTGATTTCAAACACGAATAGTCCAGTGTATAATAACTCTCTAGCAATGTGCATTGTTTTAAAAAGGGATGATTTGAATTGTAATAAAATCTAAACATATGATGAAAGTGAATTTATACATTTTTTATGTTCTTGAGAATTTACAAAAATATTTATATATTTATTAGATTATTTACAACATTCTAGAAACTAATCATTTAACAATTTATAAAGGAATATGAAAACAATTTTCATTTATAAATTTGTAAACATTTAATAAATTATTAAAACGTGTGAACCAACTATAAAGGAAATTCTTATTATTTACCGTTTTATAAAGTTTGAATGGATGGCAATTAGCCGATGTTTTGACAACCATTCTAATAAACAATGTAATAAATAAATAGTATTACTTTGTTGTTAATTCTCAAGAAGAAAACAATGTATAAATTTACTTTTATATGTTTAGGTTTTATTCCAATTCTAATCATCGGGTTTTCAAACAATAAACATTGCCGAAGAGTGAAACTAGTTTAAAAAAAAAAAAAAAAAAAAAAAAGCTTTGTCATGAGAAAAACGTCCATTTGATGCTACGCCTTATTACGGGCATGTTTGTCCATGTTTGCCGAAATTTGTTTTTCATTGCAAATGTTAGGAGGTACATTAAACAATGGCTAACTCACGAGGATGCTTTAAGCAATGGTAAATTGCATTATGGGTGTCCATCATCAAATCCTACGACAGATAGCAACTTTTGCAGAATATTTGCAATGTCAAGCAAACTGAATATTCTTTCATGTGCTTTCGACTTACGTTATTGCAATCTGTTAGCTCTATTTTCCTCCTTTATCGTTCTCCCTCCTCTCAGCACGGCAGATGTTAGGAAGAGCATTAAAGAATGGCAACTCACGAGCCTGCATTAAGCAATGATAATTTGCATTATGGGTGTCCACCATCAAATTGTACGACAGATAGCAATTTTCGCAGAATATTTGCAGTGCTAAGCAAATTGAATCACCTGAATATTCTTTCATTTGCTTTCGACTTTCGTTATTGCACCCTGTTATGTATTTTTTTCCTCGTTTACCACTCTCCCTTCTCACAGTACGGCAGATGTTAGGAGGTACATTAAACAATGGCAATTCATGAGGCTGCTTTAAGCTATGATAACAAGCGAAACCCACAAATGATTTATTTTTTTGATTTCATGTCCCTTTAGGAAGTGAGTGATCATGATTCTTAAAAATTTTACAATTATTATATTGATATTTAGAGGTTAATTTATTATTTATTAACAATAGAAAACCGAATGACCTATTGTCTTCATCTTTGTCACCATATTTATTACAACGTTTCGGCCCTCCAGTATCTGTCGATATTTCTGAGATGAGGTATTATGTACACTTTTACATTATTCGGACTACTGTCCT